ATCATACTTGCCAATCACAACATACAGGCTGTTGAATCCCGATAACTCGAACCTTCAAGGGGAATCGAAAAAGGTTCAAGTTATCGGGAGGTTCGAGTTATCGAGGGTAAGATTAGTAAGAAAATGACCTGAAGGGGAATCCAAAAAGGTTCGAGTTAGTGGGAGGTTCGAGTTATCGAGGGTTCAAGTTATCGGGATTCAACTGTACATAGTACTCAAAGTAAAAATTATGTCACTAGTGCTAAGTGTAGGAAACACACATGTACATACATTCCCTAATCCTGCATGTCGTCCAGGGAGGAGTACCAGTGTGGCTGAATTAACAACTGTTGGCTGTGAGTGACTATAAATATGACACTGGTTGAAACGTCAAACTTAGGTCAAACGAGGTTATCATGTCCTGAAGAGAACCCTGAGAGGTTGAAAGTTCTAGACAAGCCAGCGAACTTTTTCATGCTCCGAACTGTTGTAATATATAAATCTAGAAGAAAATGTTACTTTGGTGAAGCCTTTTTTTTTTTTTTTTAATTTAAAGTTTAACCAGCCTGATGAAAATTTTTAAATTAACACACATACATGTTACAATGTTGACTTTGGTTTTGTAATAGAATTTGGAGATAAATTTATTGTATGCCGGGGTAAGTACATTTATTTAGTACCTAACCCCTTTAATGACTAGCAAATCAAATGAATGCCTCCTTGCTAAACTATAATAATTTATTTGTATTACTCAGCACTGTACTCTAGATTGTGGCAGTTACACCAAAGATTTATCAATGGTCAATGACGATCTGTCATCTGTTTTTATTTTGGACAACTCTCCTGGTGCTTATCGGTACAACCCAGGTAAATATATCATCGATGTTGCTTGTTACATTCACTGTGACAATACAGGGATAGGCAACTTAGCCTGAATCAGTAAGGCTAGTAGCCTGCGTAGCTGGCGGTCTTGTTGACGCGCAAAGTAAAAATTGGTAAGCGGCAAAGTCACGAAAGCAAACAGCAGCTCAGCGAGAGTCTGGGGCAGGGAGGTCTGAAAGACTGCCTGCAACAAAACCTACAGTAGGTATTTTGAATAGTCCGTCCACCACCAGTGGACGGGAAATTCCGATTGGTTGAGAGCTGTGAACATGTCCATCAAATGTTAATTGAGCTGCCATGTCGACTCTCCCAAGGGAGAACGAACTAATTTTATCCCAACATTTCCGCATGACCGTGAGGTAAAATGGCAACTGTTGACTGTTAAATTTCCTGAATATTCAAAGGGAAAATCAGGAAATGTTTTGAAGAAGGAACAGGAGATGGCTGTGAAAGGGTTGCTTTGTGGGACGTAATGGCAGAACTGCGGAGCGTTGACAGAAAGGAGATGTAGAAGAATTTATAATAGTATTAAATTCACGGCTGAAATATCAGACACAGAAATATACTTTCTGGACACTACAATCTTTAATTAATAAAGGCGAAAGGTTCATCGAACCCAAGTTTTGTTGCAGGCGGTATTTCACGACTTGCGCCGCTCGCTGCCGCTCATTTTGTAAAACTTTACCTCTCACGAACAGTACCGCCAGCTACGCAGACTATAAGGCTAGCAACTCTGTTAATACAGGTAACTCTCTTAAAGCAGACACCACTGTAAGGTGGACACCTCTCTAAAGGCTAATTTACACGCTACGATTTGTTGGCACATTCATACACTTAGGCCAATTTACATGCTACAATTTGTCAGCCCAATTTCTCTTTTATTGGTATAGTGCTCAGTCTTTCTTAATCCAATCAGGCCAAATCGTGCTGACAAATCGTAGCGTGGTAATTAGTCTTAAGGCAGACATGGTTGGCTGGCTGTTCCTGTCCGAATTTCACTTGTTTGTCTGTCTGTAATAAGGTGGACGGCTAGAGCCCAGGGGGGGGGGGGGGGCTACTCTTGATTTAAAGTGACGGGGAGGTGCGAATTGGAACAAAAATTAAAACCTAAAAAAATCCCTAGGGCTTGAAGCGAAACCCTAAAAAATCCCCTGAACCAAAATTAAACCCCAAAAAATCCCATGCTGAATTTTTGAACCTTTAAAACATTTACCGCTTTAACAACAAAGTCTGAGTGTACTACATATCTGTAGCACTAAATACGGTAACATTTTTTTTTTTACTTTGAAATTTTTACCCCAAAAAATCCCTACTAACTAAAATCAAACTACAGTACCCCCAAAAATACTTGCCAAAATTTTCTTTCCCAAAAAAAATCCCAAAATCATGAATTTCCAACCCAAAAAAATCCTTCGCACCTCCCCATCACTTTAAATCCAGAGTACCCCCTGGGGGCTAGAGAGCTGGTCCAGCCTGATGATATCTGCCTAAGAGAGAGAGTTCCTGTAGTTAGATTAGATATTAGGGATAAACATATCTTAGCCGGTCCACATGTATTTTACAACTTACACTGTGTAGATGAGTCATTGTTAAAAGCATTTCATTCAATTGCTTTATTTGTAGATAACGCCATACCTATCAAGTCATGGTTTGCAGATCCATCAGACACCGCATTATTAAACCTTCTGCCCATGCTGGATGCACTTAGATTTGTCTCTGATGTACGGTCCATACTCAGTCGAAATCTACACCTTCACTCTCTGTGGTAATCCAGTACAGGGATCATAGTGCATTGGAATTGCAGTGCAGACATATAGTTACCTATAATGCATTCAGCTGATGTGAAAAAACAATTAACTGTTTGCGGGGAAAATCTGGAGAACTTGTTACTACAAACAAAAGTTATTTAATGCACAGAGTCACAGAAATAGTTACTTGGCAGTAAATGATCCTTTCCACTTCACAGCAAGCAAGGTTGTCAGGGTGTCCTGTGGACGCCCAATTCTGGGAGAAAATGATGCAAAAATATGCACCAAAGCTTTGATAAATTTATGGGGGGACATGCCTCCAGGATGCCCACTTTCAAATTCTGGCTAAAAGCCTGCTTCATAGCTGTTTAAAATTCTGATACAGTGCACCTAACATGTTTAGTGTTGTTAATAATATAGTAACAGTCAATTCCAGAGGTGCCCATGCCATCCTCCCCGGGCCCTCTGGGCCAACTCCCATGCATTACCATTTTTGTGATAGAAAATACAAACACTGTAGGCATTAAGGGAAACAGTGAGTGTTGTTTCCCCAAGAGTAGACCGCGAAACCGAGGGGAACATTGAGGGTCAAGAATTTATACCTCCCAACTAAAAAATAGAACAACTACGGAACAAATTTTGTGCAATTTAACTTTACGGAACAAATTTGCCGTGTTTCAAGGTGCACGACCTTATCGCGTGCGATTCAAAAGGTCAAGTTGTTGTTTCCCTAGGGAGTTAGTGAGTTTTGTTCGCCCTAGGGAGTTAGATTGTTTTGACACATGGCATGTGACATGTTCTTGTCCAATTGGAAAACGCATTTGAGTTGGGAGGTATAACAAACATGAATGCCCCATAGTGCTAGTGGGGACGGACAATTCAGCTTTTCAAGTGCTCCATGCATGGTGCAGTGAAAAAGAAGGCAAATTTGTCGCCTATGGGCTCATCCAAAAGTTGATTTAGGGCAAATCAAGTCTCAGAGAAGAGCCTCTCACTCAGTAATCTTCTAGCCTGCGTCGCAGACAAACTAAACTTTACCGGCGGTTGAGTTTGTCTGCGACGCAGGCTATAATCTTCTAGTAACCTATTTTTCTGTGGATCTCATCTACATGTACATGTATCTCATTATGACATCCTTAAAGCTAGTTGGCCACAAATTTCTTGTCTTTGTTGATGAACTCATCACAACACTGATCATGAAGCACATTAAAAATGCCCTGGGTTAATGACTAACAGGGAATACAAAATGTGAGCAAATGCCCCACTATTGTCCCGCAGCAGGATGGGCACAGGAATTGACTGACTGATTCATAACATGGATGTAGCAACTTTCTGCATTTTAAATGTATCTGATAATATTTTAAAGTTAAGAGTCATTGAAATAAATGACTAGCGATTCTAAAGGTTTGTTATTTCACTTGCCTGTTCTTTGTAATCAGTTTCTCTATGTTTGTTCCTGCATGGTTTCCTAACATTTTTTATTTAGGCTTGATTTCCGCCACTCTCTTGAGTCCATTCTTCGTCCCTTCCCGAAAAGAGGAGGAACATGGGCTCATTTTCCCAAACCATGGCTGATAATCATAGTATAGTAGGTCCACATCAGCCCTTTGGCTGCCTTTTTACCAACCTACTCATCAAATAAAGTATGTATGTATGTATGTAATCAAGTCAAATTTTGAGTTTGATAGATCTATTTTGGTAACATGTACAACTTTCTTGTTTTATATCTAATTTCCGTGTTCAGAATAAATAATGAGCTGTGGGTATCTTGGGTATGTTGACCATCATTGCTCTTGCAATCAGCAACTGTATTGTGTGGAAGTTCTGTGAACTCTGTGCATTTCTGACTTCTGTACAGATTGTTTTCTTTTTTACTTCTCTCATGTTTTACATAACTTGAATAACTATTAAATTGTGTTCTTATGCATTACTCAGGTCTGTACTTAAAGATCTAGGTAAAAGTAAATGAATAAATTTATGTTGTAGATGATTATTGAGTCGCTGACTGTGTTATAATCAATCTGCATGGACATCTTCCCCTACTTTTTTAACATATGATCATCTGTGTGTAGGGGGGGGGGGGGGGGGACAGGAGGTCGGGAACCCGGGATTATTGCACTTGTCATTGCCTTATGCTATGTCGACTCGCCTGGGTTAAGTCTTGTTGGGTGTTACCCTTCCCTAAATACCCGGGACTTTGCTAGAAAAAAATACCCCACTGGTGGGGAAATGCAATTGCAGTGGTCGTGTTGGCGGTGTGTGGTGTATATAAGCTACCTACTCGGAAATAGCCTGCGTGGCCAGCGTAGAAAGGGGAGGGAGGCTCGAACTCCCCCTCCTCCCTCCCCTTTCTACGCCTGCCACGCAGGCTAACTCGGAAACAATCCAGAGTTCTCCCAACGGGAGTCGAACCTATGACCTTCTGCATGCCGGTCGGGTGCTCACCAGTCACCACTGAGCTACAGGAGACTCGTGGCAGCTTAGGCCATATAACTAGGTTCAAATTTGTTTAACAAATTCCATGGTACATGCAAGTAGTTGTTGCGGTTCTGATGCAAGAAATAACCTAATGCAAACACTTGAGAGAGTTGGGAGAATTCAAAATTATTTTCAAAATAATTATGTAAACCCTTGCCATTCACATAAACTTTTGAATTCTCCCAAACTCCTTCTCGTGTTTGCATCAGGGCCGGGTTGTTCAAAGGACGATTAAGCTAATCCAGGATTAACACAAATTTTGATTTCAGTTTTGCAACTTTTCAGTGAGGTTTTTAGTTTATATTTTTTGTCCTTCTGTAATGGCTTTGACTATAATCTTAAACTTTACAAAACATCAACAGAGAAAAACACTTTTATACAAGAGAAATTAAAAGCTTGTTTAACTTTTAATTCAGGATTAGCGTTAATCGGCTTTCGAACAACCGGGCCCAGGTTATATGAGCACGTGTGCAATTTTCTATTTCCTAAAACGCATGGTCACATCTCTTCGGGAAAGCTTGTCCTACAGAAGCGCATATAAACTGAATTGCAGGTAGCTTCCCTTGTACAGAGTAAGAAGACATGTGGGGAAACAACATTGAACAGATCATAGTTAATAGAGGGAAATGGTTATGAAGCCAGGCAAACTTCAAAGGAGCAAACAAGGAGGCCAAGAATTATGTTGGAAGGTCCATGACCGTGCACATCTTTTGTTTTGCGCTCATACACTATTGCATGAATTACGTAATCGCAATGTTTCTATTGGTTAGTTGCTTGAACACACGTAACCACCTATTGTATTTTGTCAGGTTTTGTGCACGGTCAACCCCAAAAATGGTGAACAAAAACATATAACAAAGAACTTTGCCGGGTTCAAAACCATTTCCCTCTATTAACTATGAACAGATAGACAACAACAACAGGTAGCAACGTTTCATCATGTTTATTAAATGATTATTCTGCCTTAAAGTTTATTGCTAAACATTCTCCATTCGATCATAATTATACTAACAAATATGATTGAGTTTCTTATTACGTAACCGAAAATCGATTTAAAAACTTAGAGAAGTTCAACGTATGTTAACAGGAATATTTTTCTGATACAACAGTAACTTTTACAATACAAGCGAAATAATTAATGTCAATACAATAACGAGGAAAAATTTTAAGTCAAACAATCTAGAAAGATAGAACAGCAACGTTTATAGTAATCACTTTGTGTCCTTGGTTTCATTCAAAATACTATTTGTTTTTTATAATAAATAACTGAAATAACTATCATTGACTTTACAACAAAGATAAGGATAATTATTCTACATTTTGCATGTAACCAAACGCCTTATTATATTTTTGCGATTTTTCAAAACTTTGCAAACTTGTTTATTTCGATCTCTTTTATTTACAGATTAGATTTATGTACTCGGTCCCATTTCTTTTAAACGTTTTGCCAATTCGCAAATTCCTTAAGTTGTGACGTCTTTTAAACAGACAATACATGTAATTTTCTGGCATGCAAGAATGACGTCATTTCTGAAGACACCCATAGATTTTCCAAACAACAAACGTCACTCCATACGCATGCGCATTACTGTGGTTAAAATGGTCGTCAAAAGAAGAAAGCTTACTTCCATGAGCACTTTTTGGAAAAATGTAGAAAAAGAAAAGGGGGAGAAGGTCTAACAAGCCCAAAATAACTTTGCTTTGGTTTTTTTTTTCGTATTTTAATAGTTTTATGTGGAAATGTTTTGATCAAAATCAAGTGGATGATGGACCGACCTCAACCTGAAGAAACAGAGTGTCATCCACAATGTAGCGCCGTGAATGAAGTTTCTCATGAGATATAAACTGATGAAACCCGTACCCCATGTTCTCTTCTTTCGTAGGCCTTGCAACGGATTCTGGGCTATCGCCTGCAATAAAATAACAGGCTACATTTTCCCGTTTGACTGGATCTTCTTGTTGATCAATTAATGTAAACGTCACTTTCTTTTTGAAAGGCCAGGGTAATATAGCGTCGTATTCACCTTTCATTACAAAAATGAACACTGACAGGTGACTGTTCTTGCAAGACTGAGCACCATTAGGATAAACGGACACTCTTAACTTGTAGCCATAACTTTCTGCTCTTGCTGTGTAGAATGGAGTACTGTAAATAATACATTTTTCTCCGGTCTTCGCTTGTCTCAAAATTTCACGAAAGTTGTTCATCTTCCAAATAAACACCCGTGTGTCAAGTTTCTCTTGTGTTTCATTCAACTTGACTTCTGTGCTATTCAACTTAACTTCTGTGTTATCTAACTTAACTTTTGTATCTTTTAACATAACACAAGCTAAATCGAGATGGGGTTTCATGTCAGATTTAAGATGGGATTCCACTTCTTTTCGTTGAACCTAAAAAAGATAGAAAAAAGTGTATTTTTGTGGAAAGAAATGATGGTAGAAATATGAGAAAGATATTTATTCAGGCAGTGACACAAGCTACTCAGAAAAAAATTCAAAGTTCCCCCAACAAGAGTCGAACCTATGAGCTTGACCTATGGGGGGGGGGGGGGGGGGGGGGGTGATGCACCCCATCGCATCGCACCCCCTTCCTACGGGCCTGACTTAGAAGTTGCCCAACAAACGAGAAGAAGTTGTCCACCACGAAAACAAAGTTTTAACGCTTAGTCCCCCTCCCCCTCCCCAGACAATGTTGAAATGTAAGCAGCACTCTGGCTACGCGGATTCAACATTGTCTGGAAACTGTCTCAAGACTTTTGTCCATGATTGTACTTATATGGCCTAAGCTCCCACAAGTCTCCTGTAAAAACGTTAACTTTATAGTTCTTTTTAGGGCTTTTATACACATTCTGATGACAAGCATACATGTACCTGTCACTTTTATATGGAACCCCCAACTCCCTCCCTGGGAACATATATGTACAGGCCTTTGTAAATTTTCAGCTCACTCGTGATCTCATCCCACCACCCTGCAGGCCATGAATACATATGAACAGGCCACTCCACAACACCAAGGACAATGACCCCTGTTCTTTTCAAACATATGTGGATTCTTTAATGTCCCCTACTATAAGTACGTACCTTTCTTTTGCAGCCCATCTCTACATAAGGACAGGAGATTAATGCCAATGGACAATCCTTTGTGGTGTGATTGGTAATCTGAGAGAAATCAATATTACAGATGAATGAATGAACAAAGAAAGTATGAATATGTTGTATTCATTGACCTCCCAATAAATTCCATACTAAAACTGTAATTTGAGCTGGAATAGATACCAGAGAACTGTAAACCAAAAACTGATATTAGCTAGATAACTATACTTACATTTTGTAGAAATAAAGTTGAAAGCCTTACCAATTCCCTGGGAATTGAATCACCACAGTTGTTGGGACAAGTTACTTGCAACTTGCTGCACTGTGCAACATGATCCTGCAAAAGAGAATTTACATACAACATTCTTTAACATAGGCGCACCATCTGTGCTTGAGCTAGTTTGTACTTGTTATTGCTTGAAAAACATAAAAAAAGTTAGTGGACCCAGAGGGCAAGACCTTGCTCTCTCCAGTAACCTTTGCATATCTATTGACCTGTAGCAATTCGTCATTGACACCTTACCTTCAAAATTGATCTGAAAGCCAAATGTTTATTTTAGAGGTTGTTGCATGTCGATTTCATACGTACATTTCAAAAATTCCACCATCACAGATTTCAAGATTTTAAAAAATGTCAGAAAATCCCCAAAATTGATATGAAAAAAGATAAAGAAAAAATATATGGATGCTGCAAAACCTATAAAGATTCTAGAATAAACATTTCATTAAAACCAAAAGTTATGCTAAAAAAAATTTGCGGTAAAACAACCTGTCAAAACACGGTTGCCATGGAAAAATTGACATGCCACAATGTTCCAAGATAATATTTGGGGAAAAGTCACAAAGTTTTCCCATTGTTAATTATTTTGTTACAATACTCACTCTCAGTGAGAAAAAAGATCATTGCAGTCTGTAAAACCGTGGGTGTAAGTATAATGAGATTAGGATTCTCAGCTTACTGAATGATATTTACCTTCATTTTGCAATGTGGATGTGGCTCACTGCAGAGTTCGCACTTAATGATCCTCCACTGACATACGATGGTCACATGTCGATTGAAATTTCTCCTTTGCATATTTATGTGACATTTTTTGTTGGTACAGGAAACAAGCTTGAAAAGGCAAGATGCCGAGTGAACCTGACACACAAACAAAACATGCAGTTGCAGACAGTTGTGGGTTCATTTAATGGCTATTGACATCTTAGTAAAAGGATCAGACTTACCTCTTTGTTCCTCAATTCACCTGTCCAGTCACAATGATTACTTGGGCATTTGATGGCAAAAGAAAGAATCTTTCTTTCCATTGCTTTATCAGGAAAGACATCCTATAAAAAGAAATCAAGAGAAAAGCATAACATGTGACGAAAAGGAAGGAAAAGCACTTACCTTATTCATCATCATGTAGTTTTAAAGTAAATGCAAAGAAATAATATCAACTACAGCCGGAAGTCCATAAGCAGAAGTGTCCATCTTTGTCTAGCAACTTCACATTTAATAACTTATAAATAATTGAAGGCTGGGTACGTTACTGACCTATATTGACTTTTTGGGTCATTATGTTGTGTAATGCAATCACAACATATTGTTATGGGTAGTTTTTGTCATTCACTCGATCACTTGAGTCTATGATGTTATCAACTTAATTTTAAAGAAACGTATGGAAAATTGAATTACACGATTTTGCTTCTAACAACCCTTCAAATACTACTGAAATGGCGCAAGTTATATATTTTTTCAATTGAGTCGTGGTTTTCCTTGTGGTTCACTACAAGCTACTTGTGCAAAAGATACCTGCGTGTAGCATCCAAATTCGGAATATAATCATCAGAAGCTCTATTTATTGACCTGATTTCCTACAAGTCACTGACGTGATTTGCCCCAAATCAGTACATTTTAG